GGTTTTCCAGCACATTTCCAGCAAAAGATAGATATTTCCAGGACTTGTTCCTAGCACAGAATTCATTTTAACTAGCAGAGCTGTCTTTGGGAGCTGCTGGTGTGGTATCACCATTCTGCTGGTGCTTGTTCCCCCATTATTTAGGGATAAAAGGCTCCCGTGGGAGAGTCCTGCATCCTCCCAGTTCTTTTAGGGTGAAGTAGAAGCACCTTTATCTCAGGAGGCTTGAGCTGCCTGTACCCAAACCCTCTCTGGGCCTTGTCCCAGTGATGGGAGGCTGCAGAGCTGCAGCTGCTGCCCCGCCAGCTTTTTTTCACCCCTGTTGTGAAACGGTCCAGCCCAAGTCCGAAGCATTAAAAACCCTAGCCAAGACTTCTCTGGAGTCCAGGTGATGCCTGGGGTGTTGTGACATTTGAATGGGCCTGGAAGGGAAGAGGGTCCCCAGGCTGGAAACCTTTGCTCAGTGCCTTGTCTTCCCATTTCCCCACGGCACAGGTGACAAGTTGTGGCCAAAACAGCATCTCCGCTTTCAGCGTTGGTCACAGCCCTCCAGAGCAGCTACCAGCAGCTTTAGAGAAAGTGCACAGACTGGCCAGGAACGCTGCCCTCCAGGCCCCTGTGCTACCTCCCTTGATCCCCATCAGGAAGAGCCGAGCACCCGCCTCTCCCCGTGACCAGCCATGCCCCGAGCCCCGGCAGCATGAGGAGTGCCGGCGGATCATCTCCGTTCCCTCTCCCTGCCCAGCCGCTCCCTTCTCCCCTCTGCAGCTGAACAAAGTGCACATTTCAAAAGGGGACTCTCGGAGGAGAGCGGACTTTGCTTCCCCTAGGACTGCCGCTGTTGGCCAAGGCTTCCTCGATTTCGGTCACGCGCCCGCGGCGGCTTTGAGCCCGCAGGGATTAAACCCGCGGTGAACTCGGCTTTTAATCGGTGCTGCAGCAGCGGGCTGGCTCCTGCCGGGACTGGGGGCGTTGGGCCAGCCTGGTGTTCCGCACTGCGGGTCGCCCAGGGGCTTGGTTTTCACAGCTGAACTGGGAGCATGTGGAAGGAATGGTCATAAGGAGCCCCCCAAAACACGGCTCTTGCCTCCTGTGCTCAGGTAACCAGCGCGGCTGAGGCGCTCCCTCCCCAGCACTCTGCCGCAATTAACGGCTTTATCGTCTTAGCCATGAGAAGATGAGGCTGCAGCTGGGGCCGCGGCTGCTGGCGTCCCGCCCTCGCAGCACGGCGCTCCTTGGCACCGCCTCCTCTCCCTTTTTCCCCTCTCCCCCTTGTTTTCCACCTCTCTATTTTTCCCCCAGTCTGTTCCAGACAGACCAAAGCATCATTGGAGTGGCAGCGCTGCCCCTGCAGCTCCCACCGCTCATCCCCGCTCACCTCACACCTCATGCAGGGCGCGGCTGCGTGTGCAGAGCACAGAAACACGCTGCCGAGGGCCACGGTAATTTATTGCAAATACATCGGGGGGCACAGACACGCAGGGAACAAGCCGTGGCACTGGGCCGTAGCTGGTGGCTGCAGCAGCCCTGGCTACGGGGCATAGGCAGGGGATGCCAGCACCTCATCATCTGCCACAAACGGCATCAGGAGCATAGCGTGCTGCCCACTGCTCTGCCTCTGCCTCGCCACCCTCCCGCGCTCGCCCGGTGAGTGCTGCAGCTCCTCCAGCTGTTCCTCCTCAAGGAAGAAAAGGGAAGCCGACACACGGAGGAAGGGAAAAAATCTGCGGGACTGCCATAGGAATTCGCAAATCATCCTGTAGAACGCGTAGGAGCCGTCCGTGAAGTGGGAACTCCTAGATGACCCCGACTCCTAGATGACCAGGTCCGTGTTTTTGGGGTGCAGGTGGTGGCCCCCAGCCAGGCCCGACG